AGTATTTAGGAAAGTGCGATAAAATAAGAATTGCATATTGAAATATGGAACAAATATGAAAATAAACGACGCTAATTATAAATACTAACACGATTTTTTTTTAATTTTAAAGCCTGACATTATAACGCTATAAATATCCCTTAAACCAATTTATCAAAGAAATTGTTTATATGCCTCGCATGTTTATTATCGTTAAAAAATTTAGAGGACGGTTTCCCGAAAGCGAGTTATATGTAATTGTCTAGGATTATCGAAAAGATGCATAGAAGAAAGGAAGAAAGATAGGGAGGATATGAAGGATTGATAATATGATGTACAGGTGCGATATAGGTCTATGGATATAAGGAGGTTTAAAAAAATTGATTTATATAAATCACAATGATAGTAATATACAAAAACACTTTGCTAACATGCGTGCCGTAGCCATTATAATGCAATTCGTAGGAATGAAAACCGTTGCTATGCAAATCATAATGGCAGCAACGTACACAATCGCGGGGGATCTTAGCGCCGACTCCGCGCGCCGCAGTCCCTTCTAGAGGCTCTGGAGAGCGCGCCCGCCGCCACTGTGGAAAGCTGGGGGGGCCCAGTGGCGATTCCGCGCGCCGTAGCCCCTTCTAGAGGCTTTGGAGATTGCGCCCGCCACTGTGGAGAACTGGATCCACCTCTTGAAGGATTTGCACGTGCTAGAGAACACATACCGAAACGCAGAAGAGATGAAGATGCTCATTTGCATGAGGAGTATGTGAAGATGCACACGCTTGGAGAAGCTGATGGTGTTGGTGTGGATGGTGATTTGTTGAGATGATATCATTGGGAGAGGTGAAGAGGATGATATGGAGCTGTATGTGTGTGAGGGTGGTGATGTGAAGAGGATGATGATAAGTGGAAGAGGTGAAGAGGATGATGAAGAGGATGGGAATCCCACATAGAAATGTGGGGAATTTATATATATAATCTTAATTTTTATGCCGATATTAATAATAACTCAAAATTTAAAAGTATATTCTTTCCATAAATAAGAAATCGAAACAATTTAAAACATTATAATTCAATCAAAAATTACGCCACCGTAGGTCCTAAATAGGTTAGATAATAACGAAGCATTCCTAAGTCCACTTTTTGAGATATTAATAAGAAGGAAGATAAGGTGGACACAATGACCAATAAGAAGGAAGACAAAAGGAAATAGAAAGAGAGACAAGGCGGACATAATAACCAATAAGAAGGGGGAAAAAAAAAGGAGACGAAACGCAATGACCAACAAGAAGTGCGATAAAAGGCAAAAGAAGGGAGATATGACGGACACAATGACGAACAAGAAGGAAGACAAGGGGGACACAATGACCAACAAGAAGGGAATAGAAGGGAGACAAGACGGACACAGTGATCAACAAGAAGTGAAACAAGACTGGAGACAAAGGGAGATAAGAAGGGAGACAAGGCCGACACAATGAAGGGAGACAAGAAGGCAGACGAAAGGAAAGGGAGATAAGACAGACACAATGACCAACAAGAAGGGAAACAACAAGAAACAAACGACACTGACTAACAAGAAGGGAGACAAGATCGGAGACAAAGGGAGATAGAAAGGAAACAAGGCGGACAACACCGGAGACAAGAAGGGAGACAAAAGGAAACAGAAGAAGACAAGACGGACACAGTGACCAACAAAAAGGGAGACGGAGACAAAGGGAGACAGAAATGAGACAAGGCGGACACAATAACCAACTAGGACGGACAAGAAGGGAAACAAAACGAAACGGAAGGGAAACAACAGACACAGTGACCAACAACAAGGGGGATAAAACCGGAGACAAAAAGAAATAGAGGGGAGACAAGGCAGACACAATGACCAACAAGAATGGAAACAAAAGGCAAAAGAAGGGAGACAAGACCGGAGACAAAGGGAAACAAGAAGGAAAACATGTCGAACACAATGACCAACAAGAAGGGAGACAAGACCGGAGGCAAACGGAGACAGAAGGGAGACAAGACGGACACAATGACCAACAAGAAGGGAGACAAAAAGGGAGACAAAGATAACAGAAGGGAGACAAGACGGACACAATGATCAACAAGAACGCAGACAAGAAGGGAGTCACAAGGAAGCAGAAGGAAGACAAAGGCAAAAGAAGGGAGACAACACGGACACAGTGACCCACAAGAAGGGAGACAAGACCGGAAACAAAGAAAGAATGAAGGGAGACAAGACGGACACAATGACCAACAAAATGGGAGGCAAGAAGGGAAACAAGAACGGAAACGAGAAGGGAATTAACAGGAAACAGAAGGGAGACAAAAGCAAAAGAAGGGAGATAAGACCGACACAATGACCAACAAGAAGGGAGACAAGAAGGGAGATAAGACCGACACAGTGACCAACAAGAAGGGAGGACAAGACCGGAGACAAAAAGGGAAGACGGACACAATGACCAACAAAAAGACCAACAAAAAGGGAGACAAGACCGGACACAAAGGAAGACAGAAGGGAGACAAGGCGGACGCAATGACCAACAAAAAGGGAAATAAGAGGAAGCAGAAGGGAAACAAGGCAGATATATTGACCAACAAGAAGGGAGACAAGACCGGAGAGAAG